TTCCCAACCATTATATAAAGCTAAGAAACTAAGATCAATAACAAATTAGTAAATGACGATTTACTGATTTATTATGCATTTTGATGTTTTTACAAGGTTATCCGATATTTTCTTTTCTTATTTTYAATTCTGATTTATTATAAATTCTAATATATTTATTTCACACTATTAATAAATAGAAATACATTTATTCTGATTTTTTTAAATATTAGTTATAATACATTATGTTTTATTATAAATTTAATAAATTGATTCTCCTTTTTGTAGTATTAAGATTATGATAAATTCTGATTTCTTATAAAACTTGTAGAGAGACTGGGTTGAATGGGCCCTAGCTCATTAGTGTATTTCTTATTAGTTCTTTCATGTTATGTTTTCTTATTGGGCCTTTAGCTCTTTTTATATTTTTCTAAGTTTAGTGCTGATGTGGACGCCTACTTAAGGGCCTCCTTGTAATTTATGTAACTTAAGTAAGTTTTATAAAAGATTAGAGTAGGGGAAAGAGGAGATATTCGAACTCCTTTCTTTCTCATTTCTTCTCCAATCTTCCTCCTTCTTGTTGTCTCCTTCTTCTCTGATTTCTTTTGCTTTATTCTGAAAAATTCTACTGATTTTATTAGTTTGAATCACATCTTGGTATCAAAGCAGGTCTCTCTTTCGTTTTCCTTTTTTTCTTTTTTTCCCATACACCTTTTTTTTTTTTTAATCGAAAGGTGTAGGGAGAGATAAATTGCTGATTATTCAGAGATCTTGTTTGCCTAGTTGGTAGAGGGTTTGGAGAGTCAGAATCTGGTCGAAGATTGCCAAGAAAGTGGGACTGCAATTTTTTTTTTCCAAAACCCTAGCCGACTAGAGAATTTCCAGTTACGGGTTGAAGAGGCTGTTTGGGTGTGGTGCTCAAGGCTTGGAGGGCTTCTTTTTATCTCCAAAAGTGGGCGGCTGCAGTTGGAAGTGGTTTGGATAGCTCTGGTTTGAGCGGCTACCTCTTCTCTCTTTCTCTCCGGAGGCCAGGTACGGTGAAACCCTAGTTTTGGGGCTTTTGAGTGCTTGACTGACCTTAGTTAGGTCTATAAAGGTTAAAAACATTGTTTTTTTATTTTCGTTTGATTGATGGAGCAATCTAGAAGTGAGGTGAAGCATATCCCGGTGTCGGGGGTTGGTCCCGTAAATTCCTTTTTGATAGGAGTGACTACAATTAAACTTGATGGAACAAATTACCTTGCGTAGGCACAATCTATTAAGATCCATGTCTGTAGTAGAAGTAAACTAGGGTTTCTAACGGGTAGTAAGGCGATGCCGGATGAGTTTGACCCTACATATGAGAAATGGATGCGAGATAATTACACAGTTATTTGGTGGTTAGTAAATTCTATGCAGCCCCATATAAGTCAACACTATCTGTGGATGACTTCAACCAAGGAGATTTGGGATAGTGTGACAGAGACATGCTCTCAGAAATTAAATGTTGCAAGGGCCTACAAACTAAAGAGTGATGTGAAGAATTTATGACAGGGGGAGAAGAGTGTGGTTGTCTATTATTCGATGTTAAAGTCACTATGGTAGGAGTTGGATGTTATGGAAACATTTGCATGGGAAAGCACCAAAGATGCCGAAACTTTCAGGAAATTTGTGGAAAGAAACAGGGTATTTGAGTTCCTTACAGGACTCAATCCTGAATTTGATATTACAAGGCAAAACATCTTGGCCAAGGATGATGTGTCACTTGCACAGGAATACTCTATGGTGAGCAGTGAAGAGAGCAGGTGACAGGTACAACTACAGACCCCACCTCCTTCAGAACATTTTGCACATGTTGGAATAAAACCAAAGGGGCTGAATGAGAAAAAGGAAGTGATATGTGAATACTGCAAGAAGCCGAACCTTACTAAGGATTCTTGTTGGAAGCTTCATCCAGATCTTCTTCCTGAGAGGTTTCGGAACAACAACTCTAAGAAGGGTGGCCAGTCTGGAAAACCCAAAAATGCAAATGTTGCCACAGTGTCTGAATGTGAAGAAAAATTTGTTGTGGAACAGTTGGTAGCAGTGAAGGCAGAATTTGAGAGATATGGGAAGTTGATAAATCACTTGGAGTCTACTGTTGCATCTTCCTCCTCAGGCACCCCCTCTACATCCGCTTTTGCCCATTCAGGTTTTCGTGCTTCCGCAAATCACGCTACAGTCTTAGGTAATCATAGAATTCCTTGGATTATAGATTCTGGTGCATCAGACCATATGACTAGCCTACCCAACCTTTTTTGTTCATGCCA